CTTACTCTGCTTTTAATCACAAGCCTTATCCAACAATCAAGTCAGGTATATAATAAGCTAAGCTACTCTGTAAATCTAAACATTCCCCACAAATGGAAAAGATACAGCCTGGGCTCTCTGATTGTTACTAAGGCAACTATCTAAAATGAAAATCTGATTAACCCTTTTGCTGCCTGGAACTACCCATGTACCACGTTAGCTGACTTCCCTGAACTTATCTCTCCTTTTTCCCCCTCAAGAAATTCATAATTGCATTGCTCCAAAGTAGTTATGCTCTGGTTATCCTATCTGAGGCCAAGAGGCCTGTGATGGGTGGCAGTCCCATCTGGATGGCTGAGTGGGGTGGTTGCCTCATAATGAAGAAACAGATATTGAAACAGAGGGCACATGATTTCCCACTTATTTACGGCATCAGTTTGATGAAATCCTTGACAACATTAAAGGATTTCCATTCAACAAATAGCCAAGTACCACTGTATTTTCTTTTCACTCAGAAAATGATGTGACAGTAAGAGCTGTATGTTTCACAAACATATTTTCCTCAACTATTTTTGAATGACATTAGCAACTGTTACCATTTGCTAGGAAGAATAATATTTCAAAGCATTATGCAGAGTTTTAGCCAAGAACAAATATCCATCAGGCGCTGTCTTCTTTCTTTTGACAGTTAAACCAAATAGGGAATTCAACAGCAAGGCAGGGCGGTGATATAAGAACACACATTTCCATGTAACTTTGGCAATAGGAGGCTGTGCACTAGGAATTCCTTAATAGATTTAGAGAACTAAGTTGTATAATACAATTACTTTAAAATGCTTATACCTTTTAGAGTACATAAGTACACTCAAGGTTCTTTAAAACTCTCACTCCCCACTGCCTCCCACCACTCCCCTTCAAAACCTTTCTAGAATGATGACTTCATACTTTCCACTTGTACTCTCCACTGGAGGCAAAAGAGTCCATTTGTTATTCTCTACATAGTGCTTGATTTCTCCATTCCACTTCTGGTTCAGACCATTCCCTCCATCCTGTCTTCCCACCACGCTCCTGGCTCCCCTCTATGCTCCTCTCTACCCGTCTGAACCCATCCCTTCCTTCAGATCTTGTTCAGCTCTCATTGCCCTGAGGAAGCATTTCCCAATTAACCTCCTTCCCCTCCTTCGGTTCACCCTTTTATGTGCCCTGGGAATATAATTGTGCTATACCATTTTGTACTTGTTGATACATTGCTTGTAATTGCCTTTTTTTTTATTATTATTATGTCAGTCTCACTGCATTTGCTTCTATTTCATTCGTCTACATTTTATTCCATGTGTCTCTTCTTTCCTTGTTCAGTCTTCTAGTTTTTGTCATTTCAGAAGCAACATTGACGTACCCTGCACTGAGTAGTTCATCAATAAACACTTAATGACTAATTTAAAAAATAGTTAATGTTCATGAATCGCTTTAGCTTTTTATATTTTTATGATTCTTAGTACTGAATTTTGCAAGATAACAGCACCACTAGCAAATGGCTCTCAAATCTACATTGTCAGCTTATAGCTAATCTCCCATATCCTTGCATTCCCTTAAGCATATTTCTTCCTGGATATTTGTATTTCTTTTTCTTACTTTAATTTCAAATCAAACATGTCTGAAATGAATTTCATCTTCTCTAAAAACTCAAATTTCCCTTCACATTTACCAGTTTCTATTAGTTACTTACTGATTAAAAAACAACAACAACTACTCTTGCTGTTATCTAGCATTTCTAAACTCTAAATAATATATTCAACCTTTACACATGCCATTACGTAGGAAGAACTTGAAAGATGTTTGATACATTAATGAATTACATTTTTTGATTGCGTGTTCACACAAAGCATATAGTGTGCCTTCCTTATGGGGATTAATAATTGTAGTCAATAATCAGAAATGTAAAATAATATGTAACACGCAAGAATTACCAATGAAAATTGTTTCTAAGGATTTCTTTTCTAAGAAAGCTTTTGTTTTAGATTCAAGGGTACACATGCAGGTTTGTTACATAGGTAAACCTGTTGTACAGCTTATTTCATCACCCAGGTACTAAGCCCAGTACCCAAGAGTTATTTCTGCTCCTCTTCCTCCTCCTACAATCTACCCTCCACCCTCAAGTAGTCCCCAGTGTCTCGTTTCCTTCTTTGTGTTCATAAGTTCTCATTACTTAGCTTGCACTTACAAGTGAAAACGTGGTATTTGGTTTTCTCTTCCTTCGTTAGTTTACTGAGGATAACAGCCTCCAGCTCCATCCATGTTCTCACAAGATGTGATCTTGTTCTTTTTTATGGCTGCATAGTATTCCATAGTGTATATGTACCAAATTTTCTTTATCTAATCTGTCACTGATGGGCATTTAGGCTGATTCCATATATTTGCACTTGTGAATAGCGCTGCAATGAACACTTGTGTGCCTGTGTCTTTATGGCAGAATGACTTATATTCCTCTGGGTAAGGATATTTAATTTACTACATACTAGAGTATATTAAATCATTAAAAAGATGTTAAAAATTTAATTTACAGTGTGGGACCTAAAGTGGTGGAACTAGTTACAAATTCAGACACACACAGGAGAGTGAACATGGAGACTAGGTTTAATTGGGAAAGAGTAGAATGGACTTTGAGGTTACTAATTATTTGGCAGAAGGTGTTCCGCTTGGGGAGACGGTAAGTCGAGGCCATCTGTTGCCACAAATAGGTAACTATGGACAAATGCATTTAACTCTTTGAAGTTATACTTCTTGCCACTGTAAAAAGAATGAACTCAAGGTTTTCAAAGGTCACTTCCTCATACAGATTTTTATGGATCTAAACATAACTCATTAATTGGGAGATGAAAGATACCAGTGTGTGAGAATGAAAGTGAGGGGGGTGTTCATCAGAGATAGCAAGGTCCTCCTCCATTCCCTTCTTCTTTTCTCAGATCCCTTATTAATATGAGATAAAATTTATTACATCTTAATGTACTTTTTAGGTATTTACACTCCATCAGTAAACCAAGTTTCAAGTTAAAAAGATAAGACTTTCTTGGCAGAATCTGAGGCATCAACTAATGGAAGGAAGGAGGAATTTTAGAGAAGATAATTAAGACATGTAAAACCACATTATTAAGGTGTTACCTATTTGCAAGCCAATTCTATAACTCTACAGAAAACATTCTAAGGAATGGCCAAGGAGGAGGGAGGATCAAATAATTCAAGAAGATCTGAGGGGACCTATGTAGAAATCTTAAAATCAAAGGCAGGAGATCTTTGTAAGCTTTATTAGGAAACTGGTATGGTCTTATGAAGGGAGTGGCTTATTGAATCCAAGGACAGCATAACTGAGGATAATTTGGAGGTGGATAAAAGCCAAAGACAAACTTATTATTTTTCTCCTCTCCACCAAAAGCAAGCAAGCATACAAACAAACAAATTGTGGAAAGAACCATGGGCAGAATGTCACAAACAGTTATTCCTTTAATTATGTATGTGATCAGCTATGTTGTTTCTCAAAGCTTCAGTTTTCTTATTTGGAAAGCAAGGGTTGGACAAAGTGTCTTCAAACTCCCACATTCATAATCTGGCAATATCACAGTCCAATGGGACTGTTACCAGAAGATGACATATAATTTTCCAAAAGAATATAGAAAATACAGGCAGTAATGGTTTATTAACATAATGACAATAGAGGTTAGTATTTATGGAGTGCTTGCTCTGTGCCAGCCTTCGTGTTTTCTAATTTCCATACATAACCTATTTTAAAATTCAAAATACGTGTTTATATGTTCTATTAATATCTCCGCTCACACAGATCAGCCACGTGGAGCACAGAGAAAGGTAGAGTGGCCCACAGCCCACAAGCTCAGTAGTGACAGAATTCGGGTTTAAAACCAAGCATTTCAACTCCAGTGCCCGAGCTCTACATCACCATAATACAGCAACTCAAATGAAGAGAAGATATGGAAATACATATATTTCTATATGTATAAGAAGAAGAAGAAATGCAACACACAACCAAGACTAGAAACAAAAATTACCTAAAAGTCCATATAAAAAATGTCCTCTTGGGGTGAGGAGAGATAATACTTAGAAGGAAACATAGAAAACACTGGTAAATATTTGTTTCATCTCTGTTTTTTGCACATATACACCCAAACACAAAAGCATTTTTGCTATGTTGTTATTGAATTTGGTTTATTTATTTGAAATATAAATTAAAAATATGTGAGAAGAAAAAAAAAGAAGCAATCCTCAATGAGAGAATGGAAAATAAAATCACACTTAGAAAAACTGTTAGTGTTTAAAACCAAATGGCCAGTCACTACCATACCAATTATTGAGAGAAAATGACATACTTTGCTGCAGACCTCAGCACTCACAATTCAGAGCAACATCAGACGAAAGAGGATAAATGAAGAGCTCATGGGAAGAACATAACATCCAATCTAAAACTTGCTAGGCAGCCAAGAAAAATGCCCACAAAGTACTGAAGTGAGTTACATAGCGAATTTATTTGTATATGTTTGAAAATGGAGAGCATTGCATAACACTAGATATAGTGTTGCACTGAATAATTCTCAACATATCAATATAATGTTTTTACCCCACTTTCTCATAGAAGAATGATAAACCAATCAGGATGATATGACAAATATTACTTTCATTAGATTAAAAAACTTCATATTCAGGAAGCCTTAAAATATACTAAAATGCACTTTTCCCATATCAACACAGAAATTAATTACAAGGGATTTACAAATAATGGTTGTTCATGGCACAACCTCAATGTTTAGAAATCCACAACTGTCAGTCCTCTGTCTGGAATTATCTATCAATCATTTTAATGATATAGATAAAATAATAAATTAGTTGCTAACTTAATTTGCTATCAGCAATAACTTGGAAGGAATCACTATATTCAGATATAAGTCAGACTTGTAAAATTCTACTCTTTTTCAAATATTGCATAATGTAAATGTCTATTACTTTGTTTTTTTAAAAAAAAAAATCTTTTGAAGTAATTATTAACTGCATTTCTTTGGTAATGAAAGAATGGTTCAGAATTGAATTGACTCATCTTTGGTTAACAGCTGAGAGAGTGATGAAGTCAGGATTTGAAACTGGGTCACAGTTTTCTACTATCTCAGCTGTCTTTTGGTGGCATTAATATTGTAAAAACCAAATACAGATTTTGAACATTTTTTAATGTTTCTACAAAGTGACTATCCAAACTACAGCTTTACAGAGGAGTTATTTCAAAGTAATTTACTTGAGAATGAGAATGGCAATGAAAATTAACACTTATTGAACTCTTCTTTAAGCACTCTGTTAAGATCTTTTTTAAATGTCATTTTATTCAATTTATATATTCAGCAAATATTTATCGGGTATATTTTAGGTGTTCGTGAAATAGCAAAACATAAAAGATAATCTGTCCTTGTGGAACTCACCCTCTAATTAGGGAGAAAAAAATAATATATGAACACTAAATACAAGGTAATTTCAGGTAAAATAAAGATATAAAGAGATAATAACAGTTTTGTTTGCTTGATCTGTTTAAGTTTGTCCAGAGAAGGCTCTTAGCAGAGAGGACATCTGAGCATGTCCCTGAATGAAGCCAAGGAGTGAGCCATATGAAGCTGTGCAGGTGAAATGTCTGAGGGAGAGGGCACAGCAAAAGCAGAGGGATCAAGATGAAAATCCAGCATATTCTATAGCAGAAAAGAGTCTAATGTGGCCATGGTGAAGTCAGCAAGGCAGACACTGGATAGAGTGGTGGGCTAGAAAAACATCAGGTAGGGCCTTGCAGACCATGGAAAAGGTTTCGGATTTTAGTCCAAGTGTGACAGTAAGCCATTGAATGGTCTTGGGAATACCATGCTGTAATTTACATGTTAAAACACCACCTGGTTTTCCATGTGATAACCAGTCTTTGGCGGACAAGTATATACAGAAACAAGTGAGAAGGCTGCTGCTGAGGCCTGGTGAAGATGATGGTATTCTCAACCAGGATAGCTCTGGAAGTGGGGGAAGTGGTCAGATTTTGAAGGGGAAATTCATTGACTTGCTGGGATAGTCAGTGTAGAAAAGAGAGGAATCAAGGCTAAGTCCCAGATGTGGGGTCTGAAAAGATGAGGACATTTATGAAGCTGAGGGAGCTTCAGATAGGGGTCATCTTCGGGTATATGTTTTGGAGTTCTGATTTCTACATCTCTATTGTGATACAGTGATGTAAAGTAGGCCATTAGAAATGTGAGTCTGGATCTCAGATGAGAGATTGGGGCCGGGATTTAAATTGGTCTAAAACATGGAAGTTAAAGCCATGGGGTATGAGATCATCTAAAGAAAAGAATAGACCAGAGTCCTGGTCTCAACATTTAGCAGTTAGTTTCTTGGCCAAGGAAATAGAAAGTGCATTCAGCAAGGTGGGGAAAGCAACAGAGGCTGTGTCCTGGGAACCGAGTGCGGACAGTGCTCCAGGAAGGAGGGAAGGATGGAGTAGATAAAAGTTAAGCCTTACCACTAATCAGGATAAGAACTCCCCTGCTTTCATTTTTTAAAAAAACAGATGAAGAACCTGAAATCGAGAGAGGTCAACTAACTTGCCTAAATTACACAGCTAATGAGTGCTGCAGCTAGGACTCACACTGGTGGGTGAGGTCTGATTTGAAATATCATAATTTCCACATTTTCAAAGTGTATGAATATTCTCTAAACATAGATAATACTACAGAACCATTCTGAATGAAAATACTGATAAGGCTAACGATTCACAAGTGGGACCATCCTCATCTATTAAAGAAATAAAACATTTAACAATTAACAGATTTTTGGAGAAAAAACAAATTCACAAAGACGCTTGTCCATAACACAATTCATTTGCATTGCCAATTTTGCAGAACCATTTGTAATTGTACATTAATACCCTTGATATAAGTTTTTATTCTGTCCTCAGAGTAAATATATTAGTATATAATGTAGATTTGCACTATCATCTATTTTCCTAACTCAGTGACAAAACATTTGAGTATCCCTATATACTATGCTGTAAGCAAGAACCTATATAACTCTAAATTTATACACCACTGCTGTAACATGCTCTATGCCAACCAAAGCCGAGGCACCTTTTGGTATATCCCTTTGCTATTCCCTAACACCATAAAATTTTTGGCAGCAAAGAGCTGCCATATGGAGAGACAATGCCTACTATTCTACTATGCAAAAATCATGAAATGAATCACTATAATTCTCTGTGTATCATAGTACATTTATAAGTATATGAAAGAAAATTTAGTTTTTTACATAGGCTAAAATAAAGCTTTCAAAAATAAGTTATCAATAAGCTTTTCAGAATAAATTTGAGGAGAATATGTGACTTGATTTTAAAAGTATCCAGTCTGTAAGCTTTGGGCAAGCAACAATAAGAATGAGAAAGACACGAATGCCTCAACTTCTCTAGCTGGAATGTGGCATCTACCAGTCAAATAATTTTTTATGATAATTTAGCCTAAAGTATACTACGTAAAATACTCAGTGGTGATGCACACAAATGCCAAGTTCATGCCAAAATAAGCAGAAGCAAGTCAAATCTGTCACAGGCAAACAAATATATAATATGTACACACATATTTATGAATGTACAAATGTATGCATATATGTCATATGCATGAGCCATTTAATATAGTACCTCATTTTTTAAAAATATACAATATTTATAACATCATTATTAGAACATAAACTCAATGAATCTTAATTTTGGAATCTTGAAATTCACCTGGGCCAGGCTGAAGTTAATGCAATCCTTTTGACTAGAGAATGTCAGATAGGGAACATAAGTGGGAACAATTATAATTGGACTTCATTTAGCCAAATTTAAATATTTCTGTTAACTGGACAAAGAGATAAACTCTGTATTTTTCTATGCTCCATATTTATATTGACTAAAATCTATCTTCCTGTAATTTGCATGTACAGAATTAAAACCAATCTTTTTTTCTCGTGAGGCCTTCTTATTCTAAAGGCAGTTTATATTGTCTCCAATTGTAGTGAGCATTTATGAAGTGTCTTCCTAGATCCATGCTTTTCTGAAAATCACTTCTTTACCTTCCAGCATTAGGTGTGTCCCTCTGCTGTGCTGGGACAGTAAGTCTTTTCCCTGGGGTTTTCAATACAGAATCAAGAAAGTCAAGGACATAATTCACTGGGTGGATACAAGTATGGGCTAACAAATTCAAAGCTTCTGTCCACTGAGAAAAGGCAGCTGGACATGAGAGGAAGGAGAATGAAGCCAGCTTGAAGAAATCAGAGGCCATAACAAATATTGAAGGCATCCTGAGGGTTTCTGAATCTTTGGTACTAATAAATCTTGAGGCCCAGTGAATTCCTGCCCTTGGTATCTATAAAATACTCCGCAATTCTAATAAATAAATTTCGCCTTTTCTTTAAGCTGGCTCAACTGTGTCTCCACAGCCTGCAGCAAAGACTTCTTAATACATTCTCATTTACTTCAACCAATGCCCCCATGAAATAAGAGTAGCCCAGGTCTCTAATCCAGGTACCATCATCAAGTGTGTGACTTTCTACAAATCCTCAGAATTCTCTGTGTCATTTGGTCCTATTAGTACCAACATCTTATTTCCTATATAGAAGAAAAATAGGGAGAACAAAAGACAGAAGGGAATAAGGCTACCTCCAAACCTGGGTAATACTGTTATCTCTACTTTGAGAAGAATTTGCCTATAATTTAGAATTGAAGAGTAAGGAGGGGTGGGGGTATAAGAGTACAGAAAAGAGCAAACTAAGAACAACAGAGCAGAGGGGATAAAAAAAAATTAAGCAATTTTGTCACCATTTTAGCTAAGTTTGACCATGAATAGACATGTCCAATTCCAGTTAATTAGGGAACAAGACCAGGGAACAGGTGATTAATTCTCTGGAGTCCCCTTACAGACTTTCCCAGGCAATAATGGCACTAGTAGCTGCCATCTGTAGGCCCTACCATGTGCCAACTACTGGGCTTGGTGTTTTCATATGTTATCTTGTTAATTCCTTGGCTTAGACATCTTTTGGTTATGTTCAGAGGAATAAAAAGACTGCTGGCTAGTATCCGAAGCCTTGCAGTATGGTGCAGGGCTTCAGGTGGTGATGGAAGAAAATGATTCTTTGTCAGTTGCCAAGTATAAGTTCAGGAGCATAACTTCGGGTAAGAAAGAGGAGGAAGATGGCTCAGCCATGGAACCCAGGGTAGCCTGTCATTGAACTCTGCTGGACTGTTAGGAGAAGATTAAAGCTGAATACTAAATGATGATCTAGCACTTAGTGCACAACAAAATATAAGACTATGTCTACAAGTATTCGCATTTAAAAATATTCATAGTGAATATGTAAAGGCATTATTCTCTCGGAAAATATGAATGAAACACTGTAACAATCATGCTAAAGTCTTAAGAATCAAGTAATTAATAAGCATTCCTGAGTCTATCCTTGAGTTCTCACTTGCAAACAAGCTTCTCTGCTTGAGTTAGGAATATTGCTATAAACTTTGGAGATATATATATTAAGTAAACAATAATATAGCCATCATACTATAGTTATTCACAACAATAACAAATAAGGTAAAAAGGGTTTAAACAATTTTAAAAAATGAAAAATGAGCAGTTATTCCCTAACGCTTTTTAACTTGTATTAACTATAACATTTATTAAATTTAATTTTAAAAGAAAGAATGAAATTTAAAAAGTTAGCAAATTCAAGAAATGAAAACATTAAAAATACAACAGAGGGGAAACGTTTGATTAATATTTTTCAGATGCAAAGACATAATAATTAGTTAAAAAAAAGAAATCCTTCTTTTCTTAGAAGTACTTCAATGTTTAAATGATGTATTTTACACATAATGCAGTTTTTCCTTCCTCAAAAAAAGATCTTTCTCTTTGCTTATAAGCTTGACTGAAGTAAAAAAGAAATAAATCTTACAAAAATTTCAGAGTATATTTTATTCCCAAATCCATCATTAATATTCAAAATAGAGTCTCAAAATACTGAACTCATTATTGTAAACAGGGAACTTCTAGGTGTATTTTTTACCAAGCACAACTTTGTGTTTTAGGAACATCTGTCTTCACACTATAGACTAAAATCAACAGGAATACTATCTTAAATACTTGAGCAAAACTCAGTAAAAGATACAGTAGGCAAACATTGTGGTCGGCTCAGCAGTGATTACCAACTCATGCTCCAAATTCACTATAAAATGAAAATCAATATTTCCACAAGTTCCTGCAACATAAAAGATAACCTTCATTGATTTTTCTAGACTTAGGCCTCTCTGATAAAATCTAATATAAATTTTCAACCATGAGGATTTGGATCAGAGCAGGGGTGATAAGTCCTGCACATCTCTTAAGAGGTGGAGAATTTTTTTTTAAAGTGCACGTTCATACTATTTATAATTTGCCCTGTGCAAGTGAAAGCCTTTTCCACCAGTGCTATCAGGAATCTCTTCTAATTTTTATTACTGTGAGGCTAAAGCCTGTTCCAGATAATTTGGAAATTTCAGGGGAGTTGTGATAGGGCTGATGGTGCAGCCCTGGCTGACTTGAGAAAGGAGCTAACCGGTAATAGCCTCCATGGCTGTGCTGATTAAATGTTGCCATAGATGAAAGGCCTGCCATTGCTGCAATAAATTAACCAATCACACAAATCCCAAGTCAGTGCTAATCCTTCCTTGATACTCTGATCCTCTGATCAGCTCAAGGAGGTAAAGAAACTGGCTTGTGACGCTTGGTGCTCTAACCCCTGGATTTCATGTACACAACGAGCTAATGATATCTTGCTGACCAGTTCAATGGGATGAACTTCTCTCACAACCCTTAGGGAACACCACAGCCTTTTTTTTAAAAAAAAAAAAAAAAGAAAGAAAGAAAGAAAAGAAAAGACGAAAAGAAAAAGAAAAAAGAAAAACTGACAAGCAGATGGGAGGTTTTGTGTTTTACTAGGAAACTGCAGGCAAACTATCCAGCACTTGTTAACTAAAATAATCATAAAGACAGGGCCACAGCATGACATGTTTTATATCGTTTAGGTGTGGAGGATGAATCACAAAAGGACAAGGATCAAACAGAAGTGGGAATACTAAAGAAAGGCAACTGGGGAGAGCGGCATTTCAGGAGAGCAAGGTGGTCTTTTTTTTTTTTTTTAGGTTCAGTTCTGAAGCAGCTACCCCAATGAGTAATTTAGATTTTTTGCAGGTCCACATTTTGGGTTTCTGGAAATGATGTTATACACGCTGTGTTCCATAGCCATGCTAGCAAGTGTGATTTAGAAACTGATTTAGGAATAGACTCATTTAATCAATTAGCAGAAGGTCTGACCACATGCAGTGCCTCGCTGTTAATTATGTGAGGGGTGCCTCCGAAACAGTTCGTGAAATTGAGTCTGTGCAGGATGCATTAGTGGACTTCATAATTGGGGAAAGTTTTTTTTGTACGTAGTAATTGGTTGCTAGAAGTAAGAAGGCTCTAGGGTTTTCCTCCAGGGTTTCACACATAAAGAGTTTTTGAAAGCACTTCATTATCTTTCTTGGTCAGTCCCAAGAAATTAAAACTAATTTTTTTATGAGGGAAATATAGGAACAAGGAGGAAAATGTAGAAAGTCAGCATTTTGGAAATGAAACTAGCTTATTTAATATGAGAAACATCTATGACACTATTCTACTTTTTAAAGAGAGAGGAAGAAAACAATTTTTCCAGAAGTTAATTTTAAAACTCATCTACCTGGTTGGTAAAATTTGATCACATTGAAACAATTTGATGAACCAAAGCTAAGATAAGGTGATTATAATTTGGTGTGCAGATATTCTAAGTTTAAAATGCATTCATGGTGATAGAGAAAAAAAGAAGCCCTTTATCAAAATAAAAGTAATCAGTCCTATCAGTTCTCTCTCTCATAAAACTTCCCTGGATTCTAACCCTCTTATCCTTCACCTTCTTCTTTATTTACATGATGAACATGTATGTGTAGGACAGCTTTCTCAAGTGACCTTCCCAAAGGCAGTCCTTCCCATTGCTGGATTCAGCGAGAGCAAGCCCCGTTGTAAGGAGCAGGTCTCACGGGAATTAATTAGTCAGAACACCAGAAGAACACCGCTCACTCCCTGCAAGGCATTCTGGGCCAATGCTGCAGAATAACACAGCTATTTCTGACCAAAAGGACGGAAAAAACCCCACAAAAAACCTTTTTTTTTCCCAGGAACAACAGATGTTATAACAGTTCAGACAGGTACTAAAGTAAGTTTTATGCAGCAGAACAACAGGATTGGAAAGAACTGAAATAATGATCCCCAGCAGAATTTTATCCTTTTGAGTTCTCATCTGATGTCTCACACCTGCAATATCTATTCAAATTTCATATTTATCCTAATTAATAGTCCTATATAATGTAGTTATAGTGCGGCAGTACTATTAGGAATTTGATTCACTATCATTCCCAAATGAAAGACATTGTTCATGGGAAAAAATTAAATAGGAGACCATTTAAAACATGCTGCACTATATATTTTCTTAGTAACTTAGAAGGAAGACTCAAATATATTGTTATGCTACCCTTTTTATTACTAAATTAAGATGGGTTGATAACAGCCTATCAATATTATTATAATATTTATCTGCATTAAATATGATGAAAAAACAAGGAAAAGAAAAAATTGAAAAATGGCTTAAACATAAAAAGAGAAAACAAAATTATTCTCTGTACTCTTTAATGACTACTTTTATTTAACAAGAAACTACTGTGCTTTTATCTAGCGTTAATGAAAGGTACATGGTATGTTCATGAAGAAATTGCACCGGGGAGAGGTTTAGGTCTGCTCTCTTTTTCTCATTAACATGCACACACACAACTTCATAAATGTCAAATATTTGAAGCATATCATCTCCATACCCTTAGTTTTAAATAAGTAGAAATATTCTAGCATTTGACATTACTTTCACTCAAATTTTGTGTAACTCTAGGATGATTAGAAATAATACACATAGAAAATAAAATAGCATTTTAAAAACTGACCATGTCAACTCCTGCCAATTTGAAGATTTATTTCTGATTTTCTGTGACTTTAAACAGAATCCAGGCATAACAGGACCCTGACATTCAACTGCAACCCCAAATTCAACATCTATTAAGAATGTACTTTTTTTCACGGATACCAAGGTACAGCTTTCAAATATACTGGTTACAGTAATAATGCAACTGTTACATTAATGAATGTGCCAGGAAACTGAAGCACAATTATATGAACCTGAAAAATAAAAATATTTAAATGTAGAGTTTCAATTCTGCTTTGCAAAAAAACAACACCATTAACTAAACTTACAGAGTGGAGAAACAAGATGAAAGAAGGGACTATGTCTATTTCTTTCCTGGGTGCCACACACTGAAAATCACCACAGATAGATGCTGCCTTGCTTAAATGAGGTTGTAGAGATAGCATTCCAGGCCCTATCTACTTTATCTGCTCAGGGATCTCGTAATCACTCATCAAAAAAAAAAAAAAAAACCGTGAAGGCAGTCTCACCCAGAGACCTCCTTCTCTATCATGAGTTGCTTTATATGATGACTAGAAATTGGTTAAATTCTTATAAGAATAAAATATTTAACTATTATGATCTCTGTTCTCACCCTTGATATGCAAAAGAAGCTTTGGATTCCAAATTGACTAAGAAACTTGCAAGAGCATTAGGATTGGTGCTAAACTTGTAAAGGTTTTCACCGGACAGGTAGAATACTTTATTTCCCTAGGTATAGCATACCAGAACAACCAGGGAGTTCCAACGTATTTGCAGCTAGGGTAAAAACTAGGATGACGGTGGAGAAATGTGTAACTTTCATTATAAATGTTCTCCTCCTGTCTTTGTTTCCTTCTCTCTTTCTGAAAATGCAGGGATGAATGAAAAAGAAAATGAAAGAAAACACTTTCACTTTTCTGCTGATTTTTTTTTTACTCTTTTGTTTTCCTCCTTTTCTTGCTTTTTCTTCATTCATTTTTATTCCTTTTAATCTACTAGGCCAGACATGAAGTGATCAGAGAGTCAAACATATTTTCACTCACACCTTACAACCTGCTCTTCCATTTTGATATGGATACTACCATTTGCCATAAATGTTAACAAGGTGCACAGAAGTAATGTCTACTAAATACCAAAGCACTTCATTTGGTAACTTTAGTACATAACTAGTTATTTCTTTTTTTGTTGTTTCCTTTTTCAGATAAAAGGAGAATTTCAGATAATTTTGCTTTACTCTCAGTTTATATGGTTTTAAAATACACAAATTTTAGATGATATTGGAAGTCAATTATAAGATGTTAGCAGTATATGATTCTATTTTGAGATTTAATGAGGAGTAGATAGATTAAAAAGCTCTAAGAAGTATGTGCCTATTCATATGGCTAAAACCAATAAAAGAGATTATTTTAGCCATGCAGATAAAAATGTTGGCAAAGAATTTCACAATATTTAATGTTCTCTATTCCATTACCATTGAATAAAAGATAAAAATCCAGATTTCTTGGCAAAGCATGGAAAGTTTCCTGTTACCTTCTTTAATCCTTATTATTAGCCCTGTTTCACCCAATATTGTGTGTTTCCCCCAAACACTTCTTTGTTTCAT